ACACACACACACACACACACACACACACACACACACACACACACACACACACAAAACAACAAGCATATATGTATGTACTATGAGGGGATCTAAATTACATGAGCAGGCAGTGTAGTGATGGGTAGATGAGAGAGAAGAAGGTGGGGTTGGTGTGGGGTGGGGGGTGGGTTGTCAAGAACCGCTCCTGCCGTTTCAACTCCCCCCACCCCCAACGACTCCCAGTTACCCAGTCCCTCCACCCCTTCCTGTAATCTCCACTCCTCCACGGGTAGTCTCAAACCTTGTGTTCGTCCACCACCAACCAATTACCTGGCAACCCTGCCCTTATCCCCAGCACAGGCGTGATGCTGCTGCATGATGGGGTTTTTGTATATTGAATTCCATCTCCTGGTGAGATAAAGGGTGTAGGAACAGGGCTCTGCCGCTGTGCCAGATAAGTGTTTCTCACAAACCGTTCCTCGCTGCTTCTTCTGACACTGATTGTGGAGAAAAGAGACATTGGGGATGGCAGGGGAGGTGTGTGTGTGTGTGTGTGTGTGTGTGTGTGTGTGTATACAGTGTGCATGTACAAGTGCACTTTTGTTTACTAGGAGCATTTTTCTACCAGTGAATTCAGATGTGTCGCATGCTAAGTCAGGGAAGGAAAGAAGCACAAAGCGCCTCAGGACGTTGTAACAACCCCCTAGTGCCACCAGCCCCACCTCCCACCAGCCCGACACAATTACCCACTCATGTCTAATTGGCATTTGAGGCTTCTCTGCTTGATCGACCGTGGCCACATCAGCATGAAGTGGCAGAGCAGCGCTTGCCAAACTGTGACTTAACTGGTATCACGCTTTGTTACTCTTGTAGCCACTTACATAATTTGTTGATGTAAATTTACTCTGCCTAATTAACATCGTCAGCCTCTCGTTTAATGCGAGCAGACGTGAGATGCAGTCAGTCGCTGGTGCCACTGTCCGTTTTGCTGATTTCTGATCGGCAGTGCGTATAGGCAAAGGCCTGTCTCTGCACCGTCGAGCTGGAGTCTTTGCAACGTGGCAGAACAAATTCATTTCTCAGTACGTACACAAAGTTTTGGCATGTGGAGTTTTAGATGTAGGGATGAGCATGAAATTAACTCTACAGAAGTTTGCAGAATATATGAAAGTTTCTTTCTGAGTTGCAGTTTTTTTTACAACATTGTTCTGGAATGATTAAGACAACACAAATCTGACTGACAGGCCTTCCTGAGGAAAAGTTGTTTTATTTGAGGTGACAGTGCAAAAATTCACAAWTATGTTAAAAATTAAAACGTTTTTGCACCACATGGTTCATGCAACCTTTTAGAATCAATTTTTTTTCTTGAACAAGAAATATTTCATTAATAAAATATAAATTATTATAAGTTGTCATCTAAAATAGACAGAACAAATCAACAGTAAACAAATTTGAATCGTGTGTCTCTACRTGTAAAAGTTGCTCTTTAATTGTTACAAAACTCTATTTGTAACAGCAACCATCAACAATTTTTGTCACTGCACTTTTGTGCTGGAAGCCTAATGATTAGGTCTTATTACCAGTGGTTGATGTCTGAGCTGGAGTTGCAGCTGGACAGAACTGATCTAACGTGCACCAAGTCACCCCGCCCCCACTCAGCCAGTCAGGATATTAGATCCGACTGGTGGTTTGTGATGGTGGTGGGGTCAGTGAGCATCTCATTCGCATACCTCTTCCCGCTCCCTGCCTTTGATGCTCACCCATTTACTTCTCCACTGCACTGCGGGGTAATCAGGACAGCGACACTTTATGAGAGAGTAGACGACAAAAAGGATTTACACACAAAGCCTGTCAGTGGAACAAACCTCATTTGCCTCCAGAGTTTGAACTTGCATGCGTAAGCGTTTAAGCTTGAAGGAATTATTTGAGTTRGTTCAAATGGCCTAATTGTTTGCATTCATTTGCATGTAATGTTTCAGGTGCTCATTTTTTCATGTGAAATTATATTTAATTGCTCTGTAAAAAAAAAAAAAAAACTGCAGAGAGAAATGTATTTTTGTACACCCAGTTCTTTGCTTTGTACCTTTTTTAGGACTTCTGTTCATTTTGAATCATGGCAGGTTCTTGCAGATATGTGTTGGAACATTGGTGGCAATCCAAAAAGCAAGTTTGAAATCAGAGTTTTTTTAATGAGTAAACCAAACAAAAACACCTCAAATTGTAACCCATGCTTTTAAATGTAACATTTTATAAAAGATGACCCCTTTAAGTTTTCTTTGCAAAAGTTTTGATTCTTTGTTACGCAACAATATCTGATGAGTGTGGCCTTTTTTTTCATTATTCACAATAATAAAAAAAAAGCATTTTCAAACACTTGGCCATCTTATTTTTTGCGATTAACATTTAAATATATAACTCTGGACTGATACTACCTCTGAATATTCAAACATTTCAGATGATAAACATAGTATCTTGCCACAGAAAAGGGTAAGGCAGAAATTTTTAACAGTTTGAAAAATTTCGTCTCTTGCCTTAAAAAAAATAACACATTGAGTTGGTGATTCCAGTTTTTATTTAGTAGTGCAATTTGTCATTTGTATTGACTGAAAATGGATTTTTTTCCAATGTTATAGTTGTTGTTGTTGTAGAAAAGACACCTGTTGACTTTTCCATACATATAGATTTACTTCAGATTTCTAGTAATACTCATACATATTTCATATTTTGCAGGGGGCATATTTACTAGTGCTTTTTTGAAGATCTCTGAGCTGGGCTTCTGCAAAGACTTTGGTCAGTAATAAAGAAGAATTTCCCTCAGGGTAAGGCTTACAGAAGCTGTTTATTTTGACCAACAGAACCAAAGCCTGGAAACCAAAGGAGTAGCACTGTTGGAGTTGAAGCAGGTGGTTTCTGGGCTTCAAAGACCAAAAAATAATCTTGCGGAAAAAAAAGAGAAAAATCCAAAGCCAGGCTCAGAAAAGTGCCGAACATCTCCGAGCTTCTGCTCACAAAGACACCAGGCTCATCATGTGGTTCGAGCCAGTCCAGGAATGCTTTGATGCTGCTGATCTCCTAACTTTTGTTAGTTTATTTGACTGAGTTTTAATGTATAATATGTATTCCAAATGCCAGCTCTTCTTTAAAAAACTTAAAGGAAATCCTGAAGAAATAACCTTGGAGTTGAGGGCTTGTGGAGAAGCATCCGTTGATTCAGAGGCTCAGCTGCAAAGTCATTTATAACACGGGGGGAAAAGTGCCGGCCAATCTCTGGATAAGTTGGAATAAAAATGGAGCCACATAAGCTTAGAAGATTTATTTTTCTAACAGGTTTATATATTTTTTAATTTTCTGAGCAGAATCATAATGTAGAAATATTGAAGGGCTTGTTGGGTTACCTTTAAAAATGATTTTATTATATTCAATGACCCAACCACACAATTTACCCCTCCACTGCTCACTCACAAAAAAGTAAAAAATACATGAATATAAGCATATTTTTTACTTTTCTATCACATGTGAGGTGCAAATGGTTCTAGTATAAGTATAATAGTATATATTAAGCTATTTTTCAAATTTTAATTAAAGCAAAGTATTGTTTTTAGGGACTTTAAGGCTGCAAACAATAATAAAGAGAATTTATTTTAGTATATAACAGTGAAAATTATCTTTTAAAAAGAAATCTTACCTTATATATCATTATTGATACTTTAAAAGTTTATTTTTACAAGTGGAAAGGGTCACTTTAGTTACATTTAAAAAATTTCATGGTTATGAATGCAAACAGAGGCAGCATCTCTTTGCTTAAAATAGACACATATTACTTGTATTTTCTATGTAATCATTTTTCCGTGATTTAAAGTGCATAAATCTAAGTCCAAGTTAGCATCTTGATTTACTTCTGCACAGATTGTTTGTGCTCCTCTTGCCTGCAGAGGGTGATGTTGGCCTGAACATCAGCTCATGTCTGTTTTCTCAAGCACCTGTATTGTTTTGCTCAGGTTTCTACACAACGTTCATAAATGCAAATCTTTAATTTTACCATGTAAGACTGTACACCAAGATCATTTATTACTAATTCCAACTTCACCGTCTTTTTCTTGTTAAAACAGCAGCATCATGACGTCCTCCTGATTCTGTCTTTGTTCACCTTATCTGTATTGTTCTGAATGTATGAGAGCTGCAGAGGCAAATTATGCTGTGAAACTGAAGGTAGTTTTGTAATTTACCAGAACATTAAACTAAGATTTTAAAAAAGTTAGAAGTATTTAACAAATGCCATTTGGTAGAAAACGGTGCAGGTGAGAAGCTGCTCAGCAGACTGTTGTAGAAAAACAGTCCATAAATATGAGAAATAGTTGAGGTTGAAGAATAGGCTACGGAGGTGGGAGATGAGATAGCGGTGGTTCAGATGGCCCCCCTCCTGGCGCCGGCCGTCAGAAGGAACGAAGTAGCCATTTTGTGGCGAGTGCGGTGGTGCGGTAGAGATGAGATGGTTAACACCCTTCTGCAGTATAGCCACCCTCCTCTCTCTCCCCGTCTCTCTAATTTTCTCCCCTTTCTTTTCTATGCTCTTCGCTCAGTCGACTATGAAGACACTTCATTTTCCCTGACAGCATGACCACTGCTGCATGTTCTGATGCGTTCAGCATACCTTCATTGCATCATAAATAAATCAGAGAAATGACTTTTTCTCCCTCTTTCTCTCCTTTATTTCTCCCCCTACAATGGCTGTTATCTTGAGGAGTGACTGGAAAACAGAAAAAAAGTGTGCTAGTAGATTTCCTGTTTGCCTTTCCTCTTTCACTCCTGGCACTGACTGCGCAGGATCATCACACCCCAATCCCCCTTTTTTGCATTATCTCAAGGGAACAAAATTATTTTCCCTTCATAATGATATTCAGTTCTTGCTATGACATTATCTGCTTTAATTTTAATTTAAATGTCATGCATGTGAGGGGTTTTCTAAATGAATGTGTGCACAGTAGATGCAAGTTGAATAATAGAAACAATGTGGGGTCCTTTTCTTCCCCCTTTCTTTGAAACAAGGTTTGTGGATACATGGTGAGAAGGGGCACATATAAAACTGGGTGTATTTTTGTCATGTTGCAGAACCCAAAAAAAGGGGAGAACACACACACACACACACACACACACACACACACACACACACACACACACACACACACACACACACACACAC